CCGTTTAACTTTTTAAAAACTCTTACTTTTTGTTTCACTGAGTTAAATAAAATGTATTCTGTATTATCACAATCAATAATTCATTAAAAAATCTCATTTACAATTAAAAACACAAATTTCTAACAAGGCTTAAGTGTATTTTAAGAAAATAATATTTACTAAAATAAACTCTAAAAAAGTTTGCATGTGACCAAAATGTTAATGCAATCATTTGTGATGTAAATATTGCTTAATTACCCTGTCAGAAGTTTAATGTTTAAAGTGTAGTGTAGCCTTACTAAACCCCTACACCATTCCAATCATGATTTGAGTTCAGTGTTGACAGAGTAAAATAGCCTATATCATTAAAATATACCTGTGATCAGTTACATATTATTTATGACCATGGTATTACAAATTTACTAACAACTTCTAATACAACATATCAATTACCAAATGTGGAGGCAAATAAAGAGGAATGAGGAAGATGAGGGTTTGGAAAATGGGAGAGCGGAAGATAATAACTGGTTAACATGTCACAGAAATGGAAACACAAGAAGAGAGACTAGCAAAGGAGTAACTTTCGACTCCTTGTAATTTTCTAAGTCTTCATTTGGGTAAACTCTAGCTAGCCTTTTACCTAGAAAGATTACAATGCTAAGAATACAATTAGCTGGACATAAAATGACATAATATACAATCATGGAACTACATTAATAAAGACGAATGAAAGACAATACCAATACAGTGGAACTTGGATAGTTCAAACCACAAGGGACCTGTAACCTAGTTCGAATTATCAAAAATTAGAATTAAAAGGTTTTGAATAAAAATTTAAAACAATAAAATTATGTGTTTCCGCATATATGTACCTTTATTGTGAATAAGTCGGGAAGAAGGAGCGAATAAGACAACCTTAAAGCAATATTCAGACTTCCCCAAAGGGCTGGCAAGGAATTTCGACCTTCTGGCAATTGATACAAAGTCATTTGGGGATCCTTGCCTAGTTCGAGTTTTGATATTCTTTTTTCACATAGAAACTTTGAATTATCCCAAATATCATTAGAATTAACCATGATTATTTAGCATTTAGTTTGTACAAAATGCTAGGGACATGGAAACATATTTAAATTAAAGAAGATTTTGAATAATAGAAGTTGGAATTAGCCACGTTCCACTGTACATTGATCCCTTGTGCATAAACAATAAAAAGCCATGCAAAATAAAATGGAATGAGAAACGACAGAAAGGGAAAAAATAAAATAGACCAGGTAAAATAAAAAAGTTATAGCAAGTAGTGAACAAACACTGAACAATTTTGGATGTTAGAAAATTGTGACTTCTGAACATGTTATTGAAACTAAAAATTAAATAAATGTACTAGCTATCGTTCCAGGTATTGCTAAAGACACTTTGATAGGCTAATTGATTTTAATCTGTTAGATTTTAAGTCACATTTTGTAACACCCACAATTTTTACTATGAGTCCTGTATTACACCTAAAGAGGAGTTAATTATACAATTTCTTTTTATTTAGTTGAATAAAAAGAAACAACAATATATATATTATAGGGCCTAAGAATTTTTATGTAGAAAATTTACAAAAATACACACAAAAAGAACACAAAAACAACACGCAACAGCAAACAGCTAATGCACCTTTACATTTACTTTCAAAAGATTCTTGAAACATTATAAGGATATTTAAACATTCTCGAGTAGTTAAAATGTTTTAAATCATTGCTATTAAGATTTCTGGAGGATTATGAGAAGCAACAATTAATAAGTTATCAATGAAATCGCCAAACGCTGGAAATACGATTAATTTCAAGATGATGTTTTGATGCTTCTGAGTATACCTATATAACGATAAAAGTATTATTTCAAGAATCTATGCAATTGAACAACACCACAGGCATATGAACAACAAGTTTTACTCACTTATAAACGGTGTTTCAGTTGAGAAATCACTTGGAATGTAGACTTCCAAACGGAAAAGTCCCAAACAGCAATGTGTCCGAGATCCCAAGATGTTTTTTTTTTTTTGACGACAACATGACAGATTATAAGTCAACGCTCAGTAAAATAGCACTCAGAATCTCGTTAATTCGAAAGAACGCCTGATCCAAAATTAGTAAGAAGTTTTTAAGATGTCATGTTTAAAGTGCCGGTAGTAATGAATGTTACGGACAAATAAGTTTAACATTTCATTTTCAATTAAAAGGAGTTAACAAAATAAGTTTGATTTCTTACAGAAAGAGTTTTCTTTTACTCCATGAAAACTGCGGTTTCTAGGGGGGTTGGTTAAAGGCCCACTCTACACGAACATGAATTTCGCAACGGGACCGTCGCATGACCGTGCCAAAATTTGATGCAAACGAAACTGGTGGGATCCCCGTCGAGTGGTGTCTACTTGAAACCCATCGGACCATTCTACACGAGGCAATTCAGGCGCAGGATGGACACGGTGGAGCTCGGTTTTAGCTGTTGTCCAGAAACACCCCCGCCGCAGCAAACCTGCAGACTAAGCCAATTTCCTTTTGCAAGGTTTTATTTCACCAAAATATTCCCTTAAAATTCTCAGATTTATTTTCTATTCAAATAACTGTATTTTTACGCAGGGAAGGTAATAACATTTTTATAATTTGTTAAATGAAATTTTAATTTAGCTTGGTATGAACTAAACAAATTTGCCAAATTTGATCAATTTACCTATATCCCTAAATAAGGGAACAAAAATTTTCCATAAGAATAACATGGCAATTTGAAATTTTACTGTTTTTTTTATTTTGTCCATAACCAATAGGCATACACCTAGTTAATGTAATAAATTATTATTATTATTTTAACAATTATATATATATATTTAAATAAATTTTATTGAACAGGTGGTGTTTCTGGCCTCTGGAGATGTAAAAAACAAAAAAGTAAATCGGTCCCTGGTCTAGCTCTTACCACGATACCTAAGGTCCCCCAACGTATTGATCAGATAATTTTTTATAAAAAAATTGGATTTACAAAAACCTTTACTTGAAGAGCAAAGAGCTATGTAACAGTGTTCTAAAGACAAACAAGTAAAACTTAGTAGAGGTTTTAAACAATTCTTTGAACATTGCTTTGCTTCACACATGTGCTGGGTCCATGTGAGCAAAAGCAATGAAAGATGAGATAATAGAAGCTAGTAATGGTACAGTACTTAGAGTTGGTAGCAGGTACGTGATCTAGAACCACACCAGGGCCACTGATGTGAATCTCAATCAACAACATGGCCAAACACAATTAATTCACTCAGCGACAGACTTTGCGTATGTTTTTTTAGATGAATGCAAAATGCATGGAAAGAGAAGACAAAAGTGGACGATCTCACAGCTTTATTACTGACTAATATCAGCTGTGTCTTTAGCCAGGATCATTTATTAAGATCCATATGATTAAGGACAGTCGGGTCTAGTTCTGAACCATTAAAAAGCTATTAACTTTTCTCAGGATCGAACCAACGACCTTTTGATTGTTAGACGAGCACTGTTACCACTCAGCTACCCAGCTTTCATTGTTACACCACCTATTTATTGACGAACTATCTATTGATTCCACTTATATTGATACATTTTCAAATGATTTCTCAAACACTGTTTGAGTCCTTGTGTTTGTTGCTTTGTAATCAAACCTGAGACACAATTCCTTGGTACATTGCCTCCATTTGAATGGACAGTGTTAATTCGGTACATCACTGTTATACATTTTCTATCTTTTCTCGAGCAACATTTTTCAGTATACAGTAGTAAGTTGAAACACTCCTGGATAAGATTGGCTTGGTAATGTGGTTCAAATAATACTAATATAATATATAAATATATAAACATGCATTTTATAAAACCCATTTGATTAAAAATAAATCTTATAATATATACTGTAAAATATAATAAAATCAACAAATTCGGCACTTTCTTCCAAGTTCTAACACGATTCCTGAAACAGTGTTTGTTAAACTGCTTAATTAATTCCATAATAGATTTGCTGCCACTTCCTCCCTTAACTGAAATAGGAAAACATTTCCACATGAAATACAAAAAAAAGAGAAGTGTCCTATATAAAAAAAGTCAAAATAAAATATATAGAACAGGAGGAGAGCCTGAACAGCAAAATAAAAAATAGAAATAAAATTACTGTCCAAAACAAAAAACACAAAAAGCATATTCTGACTGCAAAATGCACTGCCAGTCATTCTAATGAAATATGTTTTGTACAAATATCCAAGAGCTCCAACGTGAACATCTCACTTGATTATTCTAGACTAACAAATTTATCTCATAGAAATTGGTTCTGTGAAGAAGATTGCAAGTATTGCAACTCAACACTCCGTGCAAACAAATCCTACTGCAGCACAAGATATTTATTGTCATGTAGACATTCCAGACATTCTATGATTGCTCTTCGCATACTTAAAGCCTCCAATGACGGATAAATAACATCAGGTGTCCTTAAATAAGTGAGCACATAAAAATGACCATTACACCTAATTTTTGCAGGAAAAATATAAATATGCAGGCAAACAAAAAAATAAAAAACCCAGCAAGGATCAACAAATACAGAAGTTTTTTGTTTCTTTTAGGAATTTTGATTTCCACATTATTACTTTAAACAAGAATGTTAGCCTCAATTGTTTCATGAGCATTATGACTCAGGATATCTTCAACTTGGCTTAGGCCTACATTTAATCCAAAAGCCTTTGATAATGTTCTTAAAAACACAAACCATTTTATCTAAAGATTAATTAGACTATTGTAGCCTCATAGCGACTACATAATAAGAAACAGCAGTAGTTAGAGCAAAAATATTTTACGTTCTCAAAGAACAAACGTTTTGTAGACACATTTAAATGGGTATGATAGAAAAATATATTTAAACATTGATGGAATCAAAGTTTTGACAACTTGTGCTGCAATAAATTTGCATGTAAACAGAGAATCCCACCACCAATTTACATAAAACATAAGAGGAAGATTGGATCGAGTACTTACTGATCGAGCTTGCAAAAGCATTGTCAACCCTTGCCTCTTCTTCTTTGGTTATAATTTCTGATCCATTAGGGATGCCCTGGAACAAACCAATAATCCTTTAACATTAGGGAAACAATAATAAATATAGATAGTTGCAGATAAGATATTTAGAGAAAATGATTAAATCACCATCCAGAAAACTTCCAAACCCAGTTATATTCTATCTGCAAGCTGTATCAGCTGAAATATAGGGTACAGTAAAGCATGGTTTACTATAGTTTCTATACAAATGTTTACACAAGTTTAAAATACTAAGTTCAGAGCATTTCACGGTTGACAATGACAACATCCAGAAAAAAACATACCAAGTCGGTTTTTAAGACACCTAAGGATCAGCTCCCAGGTAAACAATGCAATAATCTTTATGTAATGATGTTAGGTTGATTATGTTGAATGTGAAATCTGATACAAATATAAATTGGAAAAGTAACAAGTTGTACGGTAAGTGCAATCATTTTTTGTCTAGGATCAGCTACTTCATTACTTTGAGAATTTAGTTTTTTATTTTATTCGAGAATTAAAATAATCCAACTAAAAGGGCATCATCAAAAACTCAAAAAGTTATTTGGTATAAATACATAATAACATGAAATACAATTCAAGGGGTTAGTCACGGATTATCTCACATGATTAACCAAAAATCTTTAACCAAACAGAGATTAAATTACCAGACACAAGGATAAAAGATGCCTTGTTACTTAAAATGAAAATAGCTAAAGTGGAGGCCATTCCAACAAAGCAAAAGATAATCCACTATTATTAAAACAAGTAACCAAGACTGAAACAAACTATCCACTTCTGGTTTACATTAATCTCCAAAACTTCATGGCAAACCCCTAGTTTGGAACCATAAAATAATCGTAAAAACTTAGGCCTGAGGCCACTACTCCAACATGCCATGCGTGCCGGTCAGGACGTGCTGATCTGGCACAACTGATCATAGTAGCCACTGACAACTACTAATAAGTTTGTATATGATGGGATAAACTAGTTTTGGGCTTATTAAAATCAACTGAAAATAAACTGGCCTCGTAATATCGTATTTCTTTATGGGTTTAACACACCATCATAATCAAGTCAGCTTTGCTTAATCCATTGGTTTAACAGGAGTTAAAAAAAAATAAAATCTAGTAAAACTGATCTCAAAACTAGTATTTTGCACCGTGGCAGTAATTAACTTAGTTCACCTATATCAAATTCACCGATATTAAGCTACATCTAAGAAATATAAGACTAAGTTTCATTAGGTGATCTTGGGCGAGTCGGTGGTTCAGTTGGTAGCGTCACGGACATCGGGCCCAAGGTAGTAAAGTCGAGGGTTCGGATCTTTGCCACTGCCACAAACATTTTATCAGTACAGTTCACCTTTGTCCTACTGTACCGGCTCACCCCTTGCTTTGCTGGATACGTTCCACGCACAGATCTGTAGTCTATGTGGACGGGCAAATGCAAGGTTAACGAGGCTGCCAACCTCTTATTAAAAAAAAAAGAAAATTATCACACAAGATTAACTATGCTTCACCAATGAACTTCAAGTTTTCAGGACTTGAGAATGCTTCTCGAAGTGGCTGGTGAGGAACTAATTTGTCTACCCTCTGTCTGAGGGTTCCATGGATCATCCCTCTCGCTCCCCTATTTAGCAAAGTAGGGGGCTCAGCTGATCCTGGACGTCTGCTGCTTTCTAAACCAAAAAAGCTAGCTGGCCGCTGTCGTCTGTAGCCGCCAAATCGTCATACACTCGAGCTTGTTGTTGTTGTGTTGACTGTAGGTTAAATGTTGTGCTTTTTTCACAAGACAATGAGTTTTAACTTCAAGTTGTCGGTTTATATTACTCACACCGCATTTCCTCTCGTCTTTGAGACAGATTATTGGCCTAAGGCCGTGATTTGCGGGTTTACCAAGTGTAGAAAGTTTTGTCTAAGTACTAAGCCGGGTTAAGGTGAGTCAATAAGCTATAAAACTCTTTTTATATCACGCTAATACAGAAGTCTCGTTCTAAACATTTGGTTTGTTACCAAACACAACCAGTGCATCATGCCTATCATTACTATCAAAGTTATAACTAAGGTTAGCCTTCTAACCATCACTTTGAGGTTTTGTCACTTCCAACTTATATAAAAATAAGTTTAGATACCTTGACAAAATACAAATCATGCATTATCGTGTCAGTTTTATGAACATCTAAATTACACATTTAAAATTACTTCTAAATCCCAGAAGTATTTGACATCCACAAACAATAAGAACTGCAAAACAAAATTGCTTCGTATGAGTTGTCAATCTAGACGAGCGTAGCAGACAGCCGGGACATTAAACTAGACCCCTAGATGCCATTAGACATAGAGTTTAATTGTTGTATTCACGCGTCCCGTCGTTGTTTGAAAACCGAGCTCTGACAGAGTGGGAGTAGCCCACCATATCCTGGTCCTGGACTGGACGGCTACGAGAAAATGGCGTTCGTAGCCTGTTGTCGTCGTAACATGCTGATTTTGCTTTTTATACTCATTAATGTTTCCAATTGGAGAAATGATTTACACGTTTTCTGTTTGACTCCCAATAATTGTTTATATTTAAATTTAAAATAAAAAAATCAATCCTAGAAAAATTCCCACACATTACTGGCATAATCACAAAATTTCTGTATCGTTCCCGCATAGTTCCCGGCGTCATAATATTTCCGGTTATCGCGGTCGCCGGGCACCTTGATTTCATGAACAGTGTGCAAACATTAAACATTGTTTTTTTTTAATTAAAACAAGAGTTATCTTGTTTTAATTAAAAAAACCATCTAGTAAGACTCTTGCTTGAGTTGTTAATTCAATCTTATGGAGTATAAGCAATGATTAGTGTAAATGAGCAAGTTTATTAGTGACACAAACGGTTTCATGAAGGCTGTGAATGCATTGACAATGACCAGTCACTGACAATGTGGAGTCAATGATGTAAACATTAAGCGAGTATCACAAGTTGTGCGTGAAGACCGGAAATTAATAATCTATGAAATTACATTTGAGATACATTTATCTAATGGAAGTGTTCACAGCATCCTTAATGATCATTTGAACATGCATCAAATTTGTTTGTCAATGGTTCCAAAAGTGCCACAAAAACTTCTGAGCACAAAGAACCTCGAATGTTAATGGCTGGTGACTTTTTGATATGGCCGATTAGGATCAATTTAAATTAAATTGTGACTGGTGACGAAACAAGGTATTATCTCTACAGCCCTCTACCAAGTTTGTGCCACACAGTTTGTGGTACACAACCGACAATAACCGACAAAGTAGACTTGCAGGTACACGAAAAGCGCTTACCAAATACTCCACTACAGCTCGTCAGCTACAGGGTGTCCACAGAAAATTAGTCATTAATTTTCATGACTTTCCATGACTATCCATGACCATTTACCATTGATTTCCATGACTCTCGAACTTTACTCGAAAATTATAATATAACATACACACAAATAATACTGCCTAGACAAGTTATTTCACAAAAATTACTGAAATGTGTATTGACAACAGATGACACTGGAGTACAATAGGTACAACAATGAACTAATACAAGGTCAAAACTCATAAACTACAACTGTAATAAATTGAATCGTACATTTGTGAAAATTCCTGAATAATTCTAAATAGTCGGGGTTACGGCCGACTAGAGCATTGAAAGGTCCCCTCAAATCCATCCATCATGACTTTATAAGACTTTTTGCCTATTTCCATGACTTTCAATGACCAGAATTTTTTTCCATGACTATCCCAGACTTTCCAGAATGTGGATACCCTGAGCTATACGCCCACTACCGATATGCCTTCCCCAGGAGTTGTACCAATTACTGTTAGGTGAATTTGCCGCCGACGATCGCGCTAAATGTCTATAGAAATTCATTCTGGGAACTTTTTGACTGTGTAGTATTTTAGTTTTATTTCCTTAGGTCATCACCAAGGGACCATCATCACCATAGTATCACTAGGGTAAATAAGAACATCACCTACAATCGAATATACGTCATGTCATAATTGTCTCCCATGTTCACTGACATTGTAAACATCTTCTGCAATTATTTTAACATATTATTGTATCTCGCAATCACCATGAAATTGTGAACTTTCGATTGGGTATTCTTTGAAGACATTTTCTACAAACGTCACAGCTTTATAATTGTCAGAATTACTGGCGATGTGAAACAAAATGCCCCTGTCAAGGCACATTTCCTTTCATGTTAAGGTTTTGCTATGTATTTAACTACCTATCAATCTGCTTTATAAATAAATAAAAATGCTATCAATAATTGATTTATGTAAAATTTTCGATACATCTTTTACTTAGTAAATTGAAAGATTTTTAGAATGAATATAATTCACAAGCAAAAACCAACCTGCGCTGTAGTTTCTAGTCTTTCCATGCTTTCTGGTTTTTTAGGTTCTTTTACTTCTAGAGTTGCTCTGGATGTGTAGTTTGGACAAATAATGTCCAAATCATGGTCGTCAACGTTGACGTTTGTAGGCAAAGAACCACCCTCACGTTGTCTCGCAGATACAAGCGTGTCTCTTCTTCTACTTCTTCTGCCACCTTCCATACCTTCACACAAAAATACATCATTTATGGTAAACATATGAGAAATATTATAATGGTGAATAACAAATACCACAATAGTATAGTTAACTTCAGGTGTAAGTTCAAACACATTGAAAAGGAAAATCTACCAACTCTTTCACATTAGGAATATTTTATCAATTAAGTTTATCATTTTTAAGGACCCAACTTTAAATTTATCATTAAATTACTGGTCAAATCTATTCCTCAGAATCGATAACTTTATTCACATTGAACATAAATTAAAGAATTTCCGTAGGGTTGGACATAATGAAACTTCCAGTGACATTATTTACTTCCAAATGTTTGGCCCATGGACCATTATTTACATTGTAAACCATGTCAGTGTAAATGCCAATTTCATGCAGCTTTGTACCAGAAAACCAAGGTTATACAAATTTGTTTTATTGAATATTAGAGTTGTGTACCCGGCTACAACCAAGATTACAGTGTACCTAATGTAAAGTTATTTCAAAACTTCAAATTAATTATTTACGTCACGGTATCATTCGCACAGAAATGTAGTACAGAACTTTGGTTGGACAAAAGATTATATAGAAACAAAATATCAGTCCAAATTGTTCAAACTTAATCACTGAGCTCTTAATTAGAAAACTATCTCTTGGTGGGTTATTTGGAGGGGGGCTACCTTTCTACACTGAAAGTATGTTGAAGGTAATACTCCAAAAATTGTCAATGTGGCCCTTGAAATAAGTTAGAGACCACTGGTCTAATGCATGTTGAACTATTTTGTTCAGAATTGACAAAAGTTATGGTTTATGAACAAAAATAGGAAAAAAACATGTACATTGTAGAGACAGAGCCGCATATTATTTTATTGTTGCAAAGAACTGAGTCTAATAGCATTCATCCAGGAAACAACAAACACTACAAGAAAACATATGATTGTGATAACCTTGGATCATACCATAGCCTAGTTAATATTTTGTTTAGAGATGGGCCGATACCAAAAATTGTCGATACCGATACCACCAAAGTACTCTCTATACCTATCGATACCGATACTTCCGCTTCCGATACCTATCTTTTTTGCAAAGTTTCTTCCACTAATAATATTATAAACTGTTATACCATAAAAAACACGATATGTATGTGTATCAAACTTATATTTTGGTGTTAAAGGTTTATTATTAATTGCAAAAATATGGAACTAAGTGTTTATTTTAAAATAGGCCTACTGTAAATGTTTGAATTTGACTAAAGCATGAGATTTAATAAAGTTTCCTCTAATTTATAATAAATAGGCTTATATAAGTATTTATCTGTCATTTGTCAGTTTTTTTTATTTATTTGAAATTGCATCAATTGTCTTAGTTAACTAATTAAGCTATAAATTTAAAAAAGATTATGTACATCTTGGCCTACAAATACTCTGTAAGTTTTTTCCCCTAAGAGAGTAAAAACGAACTTCCTATATAATGAGAGTTTCTCACTAGTTGTATGAAAAACAGTTATATATCTTCAAAATTTGTTTAACTATGAAAAAGTCACCAAGTCTAGCTGAAAACACATTCATAAATGAGGATATTTTTGAAATACAGAATAACTAATCAAACAACCTTTTTATTTTTAACACTTTTATTTCTTAACTTTTCTTCATTGAAAATGTCAACAGTTTTTCACTTATTTTTAATAAAGATTATCACTTATAATTTCTCGAAAGAAATCTACGTGTGAGCTATGAAGAGCAGACAAGAGACATACGTCACTGTCACAAAAACTATTCTCTACTGTGAATGAATGGACTGAGTGTTTATTTAGTGTGAAGCCCCGCCCACCGTCTAACGGGACATGGGGTAGAAAAAGGGAAAGTTTGCTCTAAAGCCTGGTTCACATGCCCTCCCTTACCCTCGGCGTCAGTCGCTTTCAGATTTCCATTACACTAACGTTTCTGAGTGTCAATTATTTTAAAACACTGTAAATGTTTGAATTTGACTATGATGAGATCTAATAAAGTTTCCTCTAATTTATAAATAGGCTTAGGCCTACAAGTATTAATCTAAGTCATTTGACAGTTTTTGTATTTATTTTTAAAAGCAATTGCAGTTATACTAAAAAAAAACTACATACATCTTGGCCTATATAAATACTTTTTGTTAGGAGAGTCTTTTCTCTATAGTGAGTAAAACCATCGTGGTCAAGGAATGACTGTGTTCAAACAGCACACTGTCAATTTTTACAAAAGTATTTTGACTGAAACCTGGTATTTTTTAAAGAGATTGTAGAATAAGTCGACGTATGTGGAGAAAAGTATGGCAATAGATAAGTTTTACTTTTAGCCTACAATAAAGATTATGTTTTGGGACTAGAATCTCCAAAAGAGTGCTTTTATAAAACATGCCATAGTTATATTTAGTAACAAAAGTGTTTGGCTATGTTCCCGATGATACCAAGAGTATAGGTTCAGCAGAGTGGAATCATTGTGAACCGGCCTGCCTGGCCCTTATGCACGACGTCACTACAACCTCCGTGTAGGGGTGTCAAAAATGGATTGGAACAATCGATGTTTTGAACCTGTCTATAACTAACCTAGTTTTTTTATACTTTAATACTCATTATGCGTAAACGAACACGTACTACATATCGGATCTCGAATCACGATAAATTATCGATACCCTTCCCACCCACAATAAGCAGTAAGCATATAAAACGAACGATGTCTAAGCAATCGTCATTTGCTCCATTGAAACACGAAAGTCGATTGGCTGACATGGTAGTGCATTGTCGCCTCCTGGCCAATGAGAACTGTTGTTACATACTTTTATTGTGAACATTCACCATTCGTTATAACATTACAAAATCTACATGGACTAAGGCTTATGATATTTTTCAATAAATGCATTGTGTCATAGTAGCACTAAAACTTCACTAAACTCTTTAATCAGGTAGATAGTACAGATAAATATGGACCTACTTTTTGGCGCAATATAAAGCAAGCCCAACCATACGACGATGACAATGTTAAAGTTTAATCGTTGAACATAATTTTTCTAATGATGCGTATAATGCAGGGAGGAAACTGAACCTTTCGACGTGTTTAGGTTATTTATTTTGTACTAAAAATAAAAATAATATATCTAAATGTCTGACTTATTGATACAGACATTGTTTAGTATAATTAATTTCGTGTTGGCAGGACATTCGCGCGCCGGTTGTCTCGTGAGTTGAGTCTGACATCTTGAAATGTAGATTGTGTTGTGCAATGAACTGAAGCTAAACAATGTCACCAGAACCGTCGCTGTTTTGAACTAGATAGTTTCTAAGTTGGCTATGAAAATTGTTAACCGTGATTACAAAACTAGTACTGTAGCTATAAAGTAAATAAATGTTAAAATAAAATATTTATCCCTGTCGAGTGTCAGTATCATCGGAATCGACTTTTGACAATCGAGTCTTGGTACCGATACCAATGTCCAAGTGGTAACCAATGGATGGTGGTATCGATGACGATAATCGACACATCCCTTTTTAGAATCGAATTGAAATTTCAATGCATCGCACTCGCTGCACATCACTACCTATCACTATCACCCAATGTCAGCTGTTGCTGTTAGTGAAATGGATGACGCAAGCGATGTCTAGGTTGCCGATTATTATTGGGCCTAGTATGTCAAAATTGAAAGGGGTTAAGGGATTAAATAAAACTCAAACATTTTCCTTTCTTATTATTTACTTGTCAAATATCAACGAAATCGGCTTAACCTCTACTACTCGACTTGAGTTGCGAGTGTATTTAACTAAGTAGGCAAACAGCTAGGATTCGTAACGGCAACGGCAATTTACCCGCTCGGCACTCTGACTGAAGATTCGTAGCATTCAGTGGTTCAGTGTCAGTATCGGTATCAAACCCAAAACAGGCAAGTATCGAGTATCGACGATACCTCGATACCGCTGGTATCGAGAGTATTTTGGTATCGAGTATCGGTATCGGCCCACCTCTAATTTTGTTAAATTGATTTATTGTGCTACATACATCAGATTAATGTTAAATTAAACACAGTGTGGGTCAATTGAATCACACAATTTGCTTACCAAGAGCGTGAAGATTTTGCAACGACCCTCCTCGGGTGGTTGAGACCCCTACTCCGCATTCCCTGCTCGCACCACTATGACGGGACTGTCTTCTACGCTGTAGGTTATAATGAGCCCTGGGCAACTTTCCACCGAGAGATCCACCAAGTACTTTACTATCAGTCTCGTCTGCTTCAGCTTCTTGCAGCAGCTCCTGAAAACAATTTTGTTTATAATAACACTACATACATTCTAGTTAGTTGCTGAACTAGTCAGGTAGCCTAAGTCTCCTGACTTATAAACAGAGTGTCAATGGCATTACAGGCTAAGCTTTCAATTAGTTGATTAGTTTATCTGAAAATATAATGTTTTCATGTTATGAATTAATAAATCACAGCTCATAAAAAGCTGGTTTAGGGTGTTTACGGCAATGGGCACGATCAACCTCAGGGTAAAACCTTTCCTTTGAAATAGACAGTTACAGTCCTTCCTAATTCCTCTATCAAACAACTAATTCATTAAATATTTCATGTCTCAACCCTCATCTATCCACTAATAGTCCATTATTCCACAGACACATCCAACCAGTTTCAATCAGTAACAACCAGTCACAAAACCCATCAATCGATTCAAATTGGCAGCAATCGCTACACATACTCAAATAGCTTCTGCACTGTACGCCCGTAATAACAGCAGCCAACTCCTGGCTGATATATGCCAGGTCTACGACATGTAGACCAACTCTCAGAGCCATTGTGTCTAAGAGTGAATGACACTCCACACTGTTACTGTTCCACAGATACACTTATTGAAGATTCACACTTTCTAACTACCAGATGTATCTGTGAGGTGTATAGACGAATCATAAAGAGGGTAATTACCAATATTTGAGTGATGTAAAATTGTTATAGATGACTAAAATATGCAGGCCTTTACATACATAATATGCCATGTATGACTGTGACCCAGATTTGACTGATGTACAATTTTTTTAGATGACGTATTTAACTAATATGTAGGCCTACACATACAGAATATGTCATATATGACTTTTATGTGAAAAAATTATTATTTATTTTTTAACGGGTCAAATTTAAATGTGGGGTAATATTTTACGGTCATCCGAAATAGCCTACGTTGATTTGTTTCACGAAAAAGCTTCCACAAACGCTGGACAAAGTGATATAATTCTGGAAGGGATGACCGTAGTTCTCAACCCCGACGCCAGGGAAGGTAGGAGAGATCCGATCGAGAAGCGCCCCGGGCAGTCAGTCATACTTCAGCCACGAAATGTTCACTACACGACTCCCCTCGAAACAATATTTGGCGATACTCGATATTAAAAACATGAGACGAACACTGGTAAGTGTGGAGCAACACGATAACGCTCAGTCACGTTTAATATAACTATTTAAAGTTATATATCGTATTTCGTCAATTACGCATGTTCAAGGCAGGATTCTGCGTGCACGAATAAGCGAAGACTCTGTCTTACACGAGGCTTTGGTGGTTACCAAGCATTATAAACGTTTTATTATATAAATTTGTGTTATAAACACCACATTTAATTGACCGATTGAAATTAGTTACGAACGACTCTGGCGATTGACCGAGTTATTATTATTAGGACACGTTTTACTTTGGTGTTTTTTTAACCAAGTACCGATTCACGTTTTATTAAAGCCTATAAATTATTTCGTTATTTTTATTCATGCGGTATTAAATTCCAAATTTGGCAGTAGGAGCCAGGCAGCCGACGGAGAAAGGTCAGCACGTTAAGATTGAGAGACTGCGCAACGAGACCTATTGCATTGGGAGACGTTGCTACAGGGACATCCATGGAAGCACCGGGCACAACCGAGTTGCTGAGGTTTGCTACCCTGCAAGTCTACATCGCTGTTTGAAGGCTGGGCAGTTGGATCCAGACAGCCAACAAGAGGAGTCAACAGGTCAAGAATGACATGCTGCACTGCGAGACGTATTACGTTGGGAGACGTTGATACAGGGACATCCATAGTAACAGGGACATCCATAGTAAGACTGGGAACCAGTACGCTGTTGTGGTCTGATACCCTGCGAGTTGGCTCTCAGTACTACATGGCACAACCATTACCTTGGAAGCTGAGTTATTGTAAATAGTGTAAATATAAACTGTTTTCAATAGACCAGTTAGTTTAATCTGTCACTTAACCCAGGACAAAACCCTTGATGAGTAAGAAAATAAGAGTGAGAAGAAACTCTTCTCCCTCAAACGGTAATAAACTTTTGTACAAACTAAAATACACCTAGCTTATTTATTTCTCTTTTAGAATAACATAGGAATTTTACATTTTCTCAATAATATTTTAATCCTAAAATATACTCAATTATTTGTTTAGTAGCAAATTTCCCACATAGGGGATGTGCTATTACCGTAGTTCTTATGGTAGGATCTGGACCCCAGACCGATTTACTTAATTGTCTTGATGTCCCCAGGGGCCAAAAACACCATCCGTTCAAATTCATATATATATATATATATATATATGCGTGGGAATTAGCATGACAACTCGACTAAGTCATCTAATTTAGATGAAATCTTGTAAAACAGTATAAACCTACATTTATTCAAACAAGTTCGGGAACCAGCATCAGGGTGTCTACTACATTCTGGATACAAAATAAATGGACAATTCCTGTACATTTAAGGACACTTTATCATAACCTTTGTAGGTGCAATTACCGAATATATTTTCCTGATTTGTCAAACTTTATAATCTTGTTCATCACTGTAAGTAAATGTACCAAGGAGAAATGTAAATAAACAAGTGTTAAATTTCAAAATATAAATTTATTGAAATTAGAGACAAACATTTACTTTGGGTAAAGCTTTAGAGTGTAAGAGAAACCCAATCATCATCAACCGCGATAGTGACAAAATACTGAATATCTCCATCGGTCATGGAAACATTATCAAATCATATCTGATCTAGGAGGATTAGTTTGGTATGATTCGCCTTAGCACAACGTTAAGTTCTAGGACTACTTTAAAAAAAATATCTTTAATACATATATTGTACCTCAATTCTCAGCACAAAATCGGTATGGTAAGCGGCTACCAGTAAGCACAGAGTAACATTATTGTCTTTTGATTTGTAAAGTTACCATCGACACATATCAATCATTAGTTTATCTTGGGCTCAATTACATTTTCTTAGTATATTTTACAGCTCTTTTAAAGAATCAAAATACCCAGGCCTAGACATAATTATTTAGGAGGGCCTAAATAATTATAATTATATAGTTAACTTATATATAGTTAATATATATATATAGTTATTATATATAGTTAATTTGTTGAACTGGGAAACAAACAATGAGGTTATAATAGCAGCAAAGTCACTATCATCATTCTAGTTCATAATATTTGGATAGCTTAACACGTTGAGTGCTGACTACATCATTTGATGTAGTCGCACCACCCCCACTACATTAGTTCAGTATGAGCAGCCATTGCCGTAGAATGTTATAATGTTGCTAGCCTGTAGCTTAGAATGTGAGCTTTGTTTTGGAGTAGGTCAGTACTAAACTTTCCTGTAAAATCCCGTCTGACAATGCTTTTGTCACGGTTTTGGGGATTTTCTCTCATCAAGCCACATTACAAAGTTGTTTCAGTGAACTATACGTCCACTCTTAGGGTAACGCAGTACAATGACCGCTGCTCTTTTGTTAATCTTCGAATTGAAATATTTGAATGCCAATTATTGTGTTCGCTTTCGGTGCCACGTCGGAGGCTTTGTCCGGGCCTCGCTGTCATTGGCAAGCGCCTGTTTGAATGTATGCCGCACTCAACATGTTAAAGCATACAACACAATAAATAAATATGGGGAACAAAAAAATATTGAAACCTGAACAATCAACATTATAAGACAAAGATGCAATGACATGATTAGAGACCACGTAGGCTTGTGTAATGATAACAAATTAATTCTTCAAACAACAATGCTTGTGGTTTCGTCAATTGAAAGTAATACCTATAAAATGTTTTAACTTACAAAATAAGACTGTAGATTAGTTACAAGTTTAATATGAAACCATAAACAGTTTTACTGCAGTAGGCAATGGCCAACGATGTAAAAACTACTGGATTGCGCTCTCAGTAGTACTGCGGGCGCTGTTTTCGGTCTAGCTCCCCCCACCATCTACTGGCAGTAGCCGACGCAGCCCAGACACTCACCATTGTAAAACGCACCTAGGATATAAAATATTGCTAATGCATGCCAAACACTTTTTACTATTCTAAACTTTATGTCTTCTTCTTTTCTTGCAGAAAATAACACATTTGAACTCTTAAAAACCATTTGTCCAGTTTTTACCGCAAATCTATGCTTGACATTAACGTGATAGGAATACTTTTTTTATGACCTATTTTGTAAGATACATTGTCATTAAACATTGAAAGAAAAAAATATCGCGTTTACGTCAAAAATAACGTTACCACTGCGGCAAAAACTTAGCAAAATTATCCTAAATGTTTATGTACCATTTTTTCGATTAATAAAATAGAATTTCAATTACAAATATTGTACTTTCTATTTCTCCTTTGTAATCACTTATTTTTTTACCTTGTACAATTTGGAACTAGCAATATCAGTTGTCTAAAAACATCTACAAAACGGGTTTAGTGAATTTGTAGTTTTAAGGAATTCAGATGGGCTATTTTCTGCAAGAAACAAAACAGACTTAAAAGGTTTAACTAGAAAAAAGAGTTTGACAAGCGTTAGCAATATTTTATCCCTATACATTTCAACAGGGCAGCAAATAAAAAGTGTGTTTTATAATGGTGAATGTATGAGCAATGTCGGCTTCTGCCAGTAGATGGTGGGGGAAGCTCGACCGCGAAGCCAACACTGAGCCAGCGATCCATGAGTTGTTTAGGCTATATCGTTGGCAATGGCCAGCAGAAAATTTAATGTTGAAGATCAAAGTACAAAATTTAACAGCCATTATAAAACTATTATTCCAATGATAAAATAGGTTTGGATGGCATAATAATTTCCCTAGTAATAAATAATGGATGTTGTAAAGGAATAAAAGTGATAACACTTTTATGAGTTGGCTACTGACTCACGAGTTCTTGGAAGTACTTGACTTGACACTTGATTGTTGTGATAAAACATTAATGGGTTTGAGACTGCTAATGGGGGTTTTTATTGCATAATTACCCTAGTAATA